ACATAAATACAGTGGGGGAAATAAGTATTTGACCCCTTTGCTGATTGCCTTGCAGGTTTGCCCACTTACAAAGAATGCAACGATCTATAACTTTAATCATATGTACTTTCTAACAGTGAAAGACAGAATCCCAAAGAAAATTCCAGAAAATCACATCATATGAATTTATAAAAAAATTGATAACCATCTGATGAGGAAAAATAAGCATTCTTTGTAAGTGGGCAAACCTGCAAAATCAGCTAGGGGTCAAATACTTATTTCCCCCACTGTATATAAATAAGATAGATTTTATTTAATTTACTGGTTCCTCGCCTTTACCAAGCACTAATTTGCCTTTTAATACGTTAGAGTCAAACTAAAATAAAAGCTGATGAGGTGTTTTTCCATAGGACCAATGCCAAACCACCTGAGAGCCATCACAGGCCCTTTAGCCTGATACTGGAAATTGTTTTTATTGGATATATTTACTTTTCCCCTAATCTTTTCACAAAAAGTACAGTATACGTCAGGTTTGTTTAAAAAGATTTGGGTGTACTGGTTGTAGTTCCTGTTTCGCAGCACAACTGCAATGTTGTGGTTGCAAACAGTTGTCAAAATTGTGGTTTTCTTCGACTCAAAGACTGAAAAAAAATCCTATAGATAAAACTACAAATGTATCACATCTTAAATTACTTTTTAAATTAAATAATTAGTTTATTTTAGTTAATATACATAGCAATTCTAATCGTATTTGTTGTACTTAATACATTATGGTGAGTTCATTAAACTCTAGTGATTTTTAAAATCTATTTAAAATTTTTTTTTTTTTTAAGGTTAAACGGTTAAACGTTTATGTCTCTGTTTCCAGCCGGAACTATTTTGGTGTCGCTCCCTCCCCGGTGTCACACAGCTGCGTCCGGTCGCTCTCAAACTCTGAAGTCTGTCCCAGTTTCTCTCTTTCCCGCCTTTATCAGCACCTGCGGCCGGTTATGAGACGCACATTCAAGCATCTGCCTGTTTCTAAAGGGGAATTAATGTTTCTGAGAGCTTGACGGGTTATTCTGGGAGGAATGGTGCCGTTAAAAAGACGGAAAACCGCCGGTGAGGACCCCGGAAGTGAGAGTAGGGGCCAAAATAAGTTCCCCCTGGTCGTCGTTTTCCTCTTGGAAAGAAAAATGGGAGCCAGTCGAAGAGCTTTTCTCTCTCAGTTGGGACGTAAAAAAGGATTTCAGGTGGAGGATTTGTTCAGGTGAGAGTTTAAAGCTAAAAAATTAAAGACAGAGGCATCAACCTGTTTTGGGGAGCTGAGAAATTACATCCTAAATAGTGCAAAACATCTAAAGTCAGTCATGTAAATCTAAATTTAAAGTGTGTTTATTGTTATTTGTTTGCTCACATTTGAAAATAGTTTCTATGTGAAGTAATTTGATTTAATAATCAAGTTAAAGTTAATTAATTTTTTTCTCTTTTAATTTGGTTTTGCTAACGTTTATTGTTAGTTGTTGCTTTAATTTTTTGTTTTTTAATGAATTTTTATGGCCACTATTTCCATTCCCATTCCTGTACTGACTTGAATTTTTTTCTTCCTGTTTTTGACATTTTTTAGGATTTTATTCTGTTTGTAATTTCTTTCCTGTGAGCTGTTTTGGGATAGATAAAGTTTATCAAATCTGAAGTTCACTTGTGTATATTTTGAACTTGACCTCTTTTGCTTTTTGTTGCTCCTGAAATAGGTATTATAATGAGTTTTTGTGCACTTTAAAGTAATTGGAACTGCTTACAGTTGCATTTCAACCTAAAAAGAAGTTTTGAAATGCGTAGTTGAGCCACTTTTAAGTATAATTTAGTGAAATGAAATAGAATTTGATTACAGGAAGTATATATTTCAGTAAGTTTATGAGTTGCTGTGCACTTTAGAATAATTTTTAACATCTTACAATTGCATTTCTACCTAAAAAGAAGTGTTTATATATGTTTCTGATACACTTTTATGTATAATTTAGTGAAATAAATAGAATTGAATTACAGGAAGTATATATTTCAATACGTTTTTGAGTTACTGTGCAC